GGTTAGGTTGTTGTGTTTCTTGTTTCAGTAATTAGAGTCGTGAATGAATATATGGTTGGATTTATTCTAAACGTTGGATAAATATCATAACTTGGTGTTATGGTACAATATGGATTACTTACTAAATACTTATCTAACGATACTCGGTAGACGTCGTACCTTCCTTCTCTTGGCCGAGGTAGGATGCGATTAACGGATCTCAGAATATGATTATAGATGTGGACGTTTAACGTCGTTGTAACTCTGGCTACCAGGACTATTTCTCCGGACGCGAGGGTCACACGCGACGGGCCGTTCGTTCGGTACGCGGTATCACGATAATTAGCGACGAATCGATGGTTTGCTGGTGTAATTATAATTTTGAAAAGATAATGGAAGTGGCAAGGTTGAACGCCATAACGGTGTTCCGAGATATAATGCGGATATCGTCTTCGCTGACACTATGCAACCTGAGTACAGGGCAACGTCCCGGCAGTTGCAACGGAATTTCTTATATTGGAAGTTTTATACGGAAGTATAACGAGTGGGACGTAACAACATATACGGTTCCCGTTGCTTGTGTGAGCGCACAGACACAGCTCACGGGCCACGGAATCTGCCTCCTTAATGTTATGCTTCCAACTCTCAATTGAAACAAATGCCCCGATTGCGGAGCGAAATGGAACGAACGTAAAATATTCTGGAAGGCAAAACAGTCGAACGAATCTGTTTCAGATTTATTCGAAACAATATTTGTAAGATGAACGATGTACTCGATCAAAATTTGATGCTAAATAAGTTTCACAATTTTCAAAGAAATATCTCTTGTTTCGACAACCTGTTTTACTAAAATTAAACAATTCATTACTTAATGTAATTCAGGTAAACATTAAATATTAATTAATTAAATTATTTAGTTAAATAATTCGTTTCTAAGTTTATATAATTTACATAATTCACGTAATAATTTATTGTGTGCAATATTTAATAAAGGATATTAACAAAATTCTCCGATGCAAAACGTATCTTTCCTTAAATAATACGAAAACGTTCGTTAATTAAAATCGAATGAGGTCCTCTTTGTTGTTATTTTACAGTAACTCAGTTGTGTTTGATTATTCAAGGGTAAATGCAATCTAAACATTAAAATTAAAACAGCGTTCAACTATATCGATGTAAACTCAAGAAATTGTTAAAAAATAGATAACAAATAAAATGTTACTATTACATTATAAATACGAAAGAAATTTCATATGAAAGTAATTTTTAAGCGACAGCTCCTATAACAACATTACTAAAATCCAAGATGGAAGCAATGGAAGAGGTTACGGTTAAATTCGGCTGCAATTGCTATAATTCCTGAAGTAATTACCCGGAAAACCCACATGCGGTCTTGGAAAGCTCCGATACGGGTCGGTCGAAGGAATTACTGCAAGCTAGAAAAATATTTTACGTTGGATTCATCCCCGGAGGAAACGATTTTCTCGGACGGTTCTGTGTGGCCGACAGAAATATGATTGACGCTGTAATTGCGAGAAGGAAGCCAAATATTTGCAAACGAATTTATAATATTTTCATATAGTATCGGTCCAATGAAAGTTTAAAATTATACGATCAAACAAACTTATTTGCAAGTGAAGTTCTATCATAATTGTATGTAGCGCCTCTTCCTCGTGATCAACTTGTATATGTTTAACCCTCCGAGCAGGGAAACTTGGTCACCGGTCCCTATGTCATTTCTGACCCCACATCGATATTCTACTACTACACAGTGACGGCGAGGCTCGAGCTCGAGACCCTCACCGATATTACTACGCAGTGGCTGTTGCTCGAGCTCGAGCTCGATTTTCTTGTAATACAATAAATTACTTGTACTGTAGAAATAGAAAGTACAGTGAAGAATATAATTACTTGTTTAGAATCTTACTTGAATTAACACCATCATTATATGTTTAAAATTGCCTTAGCAAAACCACTAAAATTTCGAAAATGTTTATTTAAATTTCATAAATGTATGTCAACCATTTGCATGCCATATGTTCTTTCTTTGTACGTACCGTTGGCCGCTCCACCATAAAATTACCCGGATTAATAGTCTAGTCGCTGTCGTTCGGTTCGTATAAAAGTATTAAACTATTTTAAATTCAAAATAAAACGATTAGAACCGCTAGGTTTCAAAACTAAGAAGATTTTTGAGAGGAACTGATCTTCTACTGGTCTACACTTTTCCACCGCGCCCTGTTCCTGTAGCTGGCAAATTAAAGTAGCGATTTCAGCTCTTTCTGTATTTGACCAATGAGTTTCCTTAAGCTTATTGTCTTGTTGAGGACGAGTAGCAAAAGGAATCTGATACCCATTTACCCATGATAGTACTCTGGAATCTGAGGTAAGTGTTTTCCATTTTTCCTTGAAAAATGTAAGCCTACCGGCAGAAAACCTTACTGGTTGATCTAGCGATGTCTACGATAACCCGACTCCTTCCTCTTGTCCTGTCTGTAGTATCGTTTCCGCGCTGTCTTGCGCGACGTTTCCGCACTCTTCTGCCGGCTCGACGTCATGAGTAAATTCCTTGCTCGAGGCTGACGGGGCAGGGCTCTAGAGTTTTTTGAACTCTTTGGAGGTTGACTCTTAGCCATTGGTCTTATATCTTTACAAGAGATATCCGTGGATTTTCTTGACTTTAGGTTGTCATCCAAATCGGATCGAAACAACCACTCATCAATGGCAGATGTATTTAAGGTTTCCCTAACTGAGGTATTGATGTTAGATAAGATAAGATTACGGCAAATTAGAGATTCATCGTGATGAATGTCTGCCAGCAATCTACATGAATCACTCAGGAATTCCACGAGTGTTAAATTCTCTTTATCATTGATCAAGACATGTGATATAGCTTTCCCATTTGCTGTTAAACATGCAGCGATTCTCTCTTGCTTTGCAACAATTCGGTCGTCCCTTTTGACGACTGCCTCCTGTAAGGAGGCCTTTACCACCGCGTTTAACTTAGGCGGATTGGTTAAACAACAGTTGCTCGGAGCCGGATATTTTTTAAGAATTGTAGACCTATCCTCTGATGGTAGACCAAGTTTAATAATATCTTCCCATCTAACTGCAATCCCCTAATGTAATGGAGGGGCTAGAACCTTATCGGCAGCTGTTCGTTTTCCAAAAATATTCAAAACCACCTCATCCAGAGTATCATTATTTTTTCCAGACGGATCAACCTCAACTGGTTCCTCACCATTTTCTGCTTCCTTATTAGCATAAATTTCCGCGTTATTCATCTGGTAATTACGTTTTATCTTATCCGTCAGAACGTCTTGTTCTAGTGCTTGATGCACGTAACTCGCCGAGCCTACGCTTGAGTTATTCGCATAACTTGCGAAAAAATGAAATCTATAAGGGAAAGGGCCATAATTCTATTATGGTCCTACATATAATTAAATCTACATGAATGTATCCATATTTATGCAGAAAATTCATATGACCACAGATAGGTTTAAATCGTGTGATTTCTGCGAAATTCACTGCACACAAGCTAATCTGACCTTAAAGTCTGTATGAGAATTATGTTTGGCGGTACCATCTCTATGTTACAGGTTAGGGCCCATAACAAAGAGGATAAGCATTCGAGGAAATATTTTCTTCCTTTACAGGTTAGAGCCGTAAAGCCTTTTTTTGTTTTGCGATTGTATGTGCATGGCGGTTATACCGCCAAACAACCTATATAGGCTAGCAACACGAATCTCTACGAGATTCGCGAGAGGCGTCGTTGCTTTCTTTTCTACCGTAAACGTTAAAAATGTGACAACATCAGTATCAAGTAGAAGTACTACAAGTTTATCGCGAGGAAGAGGCGCGCAATACAATTTATAATTTTATATAAGAATTGGATGGCGTATAAAGATTTATGAAGAGTATTTTGATAAAATGTAGTAAAATTAACCCTTTAACACCCAGACCCTTAAATGATTATTTCAAAATTGTGAGACCGATATACAGAATGTTAATAAAAATGTGGGACACTTTCAAAGGGTGAATTCTACAGGCAGAACAAAGATGAAAATCAAGAATGATGAAATTTCGTTCGAGACTTTGTTTCCGAGTTATTAATTGATGAAAATACGGGGAAAAATGCATAAAATACGTCTGGCGCAATGGGTTATTCTAAACCAGTGTTTCCAAACCTTTTTTTAGATCATGCCCCCACCTCAACGCCTTAGAAAACTCGATGCCTCCCTAGAATAATTGTCAATCAAGTTCTGAAAACGTTTAACATTAATAGCTGCTTCAAATAAAAAAGGCACATACATAGGTAAAACCGTTGTCGATTACCATGTCGAATTGTCATTCGACACCTGTCGAATATCAATGATTTGCTACTTGCCCCTCAAAACATTCAAATTGCTCCTCGGTGGGACGTAAGCCCCGCCTTGGAAAAAACTGTTCTAGACGAACAATCGAGTCCCAACTAATACACGGCTCGATCGTTAACCCAATAGAACAAATGAATCAAACAAAATGAAATGATTGAAACCAATACGTAAAACAATTGAAAAGCGTGCCTATCGAGTAGAATAACCCGTCCGGACAAACGAATTTTACGCGTTTCGCCTGTATTTGTAACAATTAATCACTCGGAAACAAAACCTCGAATGCAATAATGTAGAATTTACCCTACGAAAGTGTCCTACATTTTTATTACCACCCTGTATATCTCGCCAAATTCATTAATAATTTACAAAAAGTACGTAAAGTGGCGACTTAAACGCCATCTCGAGTCTCCGCTCTGAAGTGGGTCCCGAAGTCGTCCTCTCCCCCTTTCATGCCTTTTATTTTCCCTTTCAGCGGACGATCATCAGTCTGGTTCGTCGTATTTACTGAAACTCCTTTCATTCACTATAAAGAATCCGGAAGGAAAGAGTCGGATCACGCGAATGAGAACGGGTGGGCGGAGTAAGAAATGAATGGTATACACTGGGTAAAACGTTGGTTCTCGAACGTAGCTTTTTCACTTTCAGGGACCAGCCTTTTCGCGGTAGCCGCGCATGAATTTGGCCACTCTCTCGGCTTGGCGCACAGCTCGGTTCCCGGAGCTCTCATGTATCCGTGGTACCAGGGATTGAGCTCTAATTACGAGCTACCGGAGGATGACAGACACGGGATTCAGCAGATGTACGGTGAGTGACTTTACGTGTCTGATAATGATTACATACGAGAAGTAGTAATTACGACTCGTCGCGTCCACGCGTACCAATTGGAGAAATTGTGCTTTCTTGTTGTCGGATTCGGCTCCCTTAAGGTGTGTCACCACTGTGTCATTCGGCAAATTGTAACCCCTGTAACGGTATTTGTCAAATATATTCGTAATGTGAACAAATAATATACCTATTGGTATAAACTTGAAATTTTAATGAAAATGGAAAAATACAGAGTGCCCTGTTTAAATCCCTATTATAATGTGAGTAATTTTTTTCTATGTGAACGCGGTAGAGGGTATATAAAGGTCAAATTTGTTTTTTAAATGGATTCGTATATTTTTTAATGCACTATTTGATGCTACTCGTTATTCCCTATATAAAGTACTAAGTTAAGATAAGATTTTCATGTATATAAATTTTTCCTATTTTCTTTAATCACAAATTTTTTAAGTATCCATGAATACTATTTGTTATATGTTAGGCTTTAATGCTTCTGCGAACCACGTGGTCAGATGAATTAGCGCGGAGTTTTTTGTACGAAGCATTTGTTTTATTATACAATATATTTATATCTACATATTACAGAAATATAACGCGGGAGCATCGTATGTCTACTTACGTTCTACTCGACATTATAATACTTTAAATTAAGTGAAGCGCTCAATCTTTCCAGTTAGGTACTTTTGTCCGGATAACGCACGCGAGCATGCCACATGTACAATATACAGGGTGACAATAAAATACCCGCAATTCTTTTTGCTCAGGTGTTTGTCCTGTTTTTATTACTTTTCGTTTACAATGAATGTTATATTTGAATTCCACGGGAAATCCTGTATATCCTAGTGCTACCCTCTATGAACTTTTCTGACATTATACGATTCAAAAATGGTGAAAGAAACTCGTATCTCGGCTATGAATTTGTACAAAAAGGGGCATAAAGCAAAAGCTATATCGAAACTGCTCAAAATGCCACTTAGAACCGTGAACGACGATATCAAACGATACAAGGAGACTGGTGGATGTGAAGATAGACAAGGAAGGGGGCGAAAACCAATAGTTATTACTTCGGATAATCTCAACAAAATACGTTGCCGAATTTATCGCAATTTTGTCCAATCAATGCGACAAATGGCTAAAACCATTGGCATTAACCGTGAATCGCTTCGATTGATGGTCAAAAACGGTCTAAAATACCATTCTTATAAGCTGATTCGGTGTCATTATCTGACGGAAGAAATGACAAAGCAGCGACGGAGGAAAGCGAGGAACTTGCTTTAGCTGCTCGCGTGTGGTCGTCTCTGTTCTGTGCTTTTTACGGATGAAAAAATTGTGGCGGCACGTGAACAAACGCGCCGCCTCATAGACGACGTGCCGATCAGCGCGTTGCGACAAGACGCATTTCGGCTGTTCGGGCGAAAGTTCCCGGAACGGCGAGGACCGTCGTCTGTATACATTGTCGAATAATCGAGAACGTTCTCGTTCGATGCGTCAGACGACGGCCCTCTTGAAAAGCGGTCCCGGGGACACACAAAAAGGGCAGTCAGGCCTCAAGTGTGGCACGAGCAACAACGTTCCGAGCGATCTTAGACAAAAGCGTAATAAACGATTTACGAACGTATATGTGTGGATTATTTCACCCTAACGCCGAATTTCCCCACAAAATGTTTACAATTGAGCAACGTCATAACTGTCAGAACGATAGACAATTATTGCCAAAGGGCTCAAATAAGTCAGCAAAGCGAGTTTCTGTGCAACGTCACGATTTTCCGACTTCTGTAATGGTTTGGGCCGGCATTTGCGCGACAGGCAAAACACCGTTGGTTTTTGTCGGTACAGAGGCTAAAAAATCAACGCCATCACCTATCAACAACGCATCCTTAAAGATGACTGGGCCCCGGCGCATTCGGCCCAATCGACAATGAGAATGTGCAAAGAGCTGTTTTCGGAGGTGTGGAATAGAACGATATGACCATCAAATTCACCCAATCTCAACGCAAGGGATTATTCAGTTTGGTCAATTATGGACAGAAAAATCTCTTCTAAACAATACACCACCGTAGAACAATTAAACTCTACTTTAGAAAGAGTCTGGAATCAAATTACTACTGAAGAGTGTGCGACCATCGCAAATAATTTTAAGAAACGTCTCAGAGCTTGTGTGAAGACTAAAGGAGGAGATTTTGAAAAATTATTGTAAAATTTTATTTAGCGTTTTGTATTCTTTAAAATAAAATCCAAATTTTTTAATTCGATGAGTTTTCATAGAGTTATCGTCTTCGAAAGTATTGCGGGTATTTCATTGTCGCCCTGTATATCACACGCAGGCATAATGTGTGCCAACTACCGAACACGTATACCAACAGCGATTGTGGTGATTTTCAGTCTAACATTATACTAATGAATTTTGGAATAATAATTGTTGGTTTTTTTATAATTTAATTCAAATTAACAGTAGGTGCATTTACTCCGTGTTTGACGAGTATAATCGTCATCGGTTGATTTTTATTACGCACGTAGATACATATTTCCAAAACAAAATTCGACCGCTACAGGGTTAATCCAAACGTTGGACAGTTTTTCTGCTCGAAAAAATCACTCCCAATTCGACCGTGTCAACAACAACAACCCATTCTGTATATCTCAACTATCGGTAATTGCCTTCTTCTATTCCTGGACATCACTGTGTGCACCCTAAAGAGTGTAGGTAAAGTTTCCTGCACGATTGAATTAGTAAGAACACAATCGGCGTACCGGTTGTCCTTTTCGATCCTCGTGGGACACGCAGTTGATATACGTGGTCTCGCACGTAAATCCACCGGCACGGAACGTGGCCGGCGCGGATAATTGAAGTTTGAAAAATATATGAACGGCCGACGAATTTCAGGATAAATCGGGAAAACAATTTCGTAGGATAATCGCGGCAGCAGGGGAACGCAGGAAAGACGTTGTCGCCGCGGTTTGTAACAACAAGGCGAAATGAAACATGAATAAAATATATAGAACGACTGCCCTCTCCCCTTTCCATCCAGGAGGATGTCGACCGTATGTTCGAATGATTTAGCATCCCGGAAAGCTTTGCAGGTCCCGGTGAATCGCAAACGGGTTCCACCTACTTCTTCCTTTATGTTTTTTACCCGTCCCCTTTCCCTATCCCATCGTGTTCCCTTTGCCTCACTTGCACAGCTCCTACTCATTTTTATTCCACCCCTTTTACTCAGCACCTCACGATTTCATTCATCCGCGTGATTCATCTCCCTCTTCGTCTTCTACCGGGACTTACTTTACGTAGATTTTGTTACCTCGCCCCTATTTTTCATCTGCCATCATCAACCCGTGGTTTTGTTATTTTTCTTTAATAAGAAACACATTCCAATTTTGAGTAGCTGATTTTAATGAAACTTTTAGGTCATTTAATAGGCTCTTACAAATACAGTAAAACTTGGTTTGGTATCCGAAACGCTCTACTCTACGGCGTAAGCACCCGTTCATCCCCACCACTGAGAGGATTCCCCTTGGAACCAGTCAGGCATACAATGTAACACGCAGGCGGCTTCCAAAGTGGGAGCCCTAAAAAGATTAAATGCCGCATCTCGGTGAGACAACACTAATGCAACAATGAACATTTTTTATTTTTTTTGCAATGAATCTTTTACTAACGTATTTATGAGATTTTTCTGATTAAAACAAGACCGAGCACGATATAATTTGAATTATATTTACTTATGAATATTGATTATATGCCATAAATAATTAATAAGTAAATATGATCCAAAGTGTACCGTGTTTGGTACCATTTCAATAAAAAAAATCTCACATATGCGATAGTAAAAGTTTTATTGAAAAAAAAACGAAAATAAAAATTTCCATTGTTACCTTAGTGTTATTTCATCGACACGCAGGTATGTAAACTTTGTTGTCGCCTCGACGCTAAGTCACTCTTTCTCTTTTATTCGCTGTCCTTTTCTACGTTCGGCTTTGATTGTATATTTACAATCGATTTCTCTACTTAGTAATCACCCGGGCTCCAGTCCCAATTTTCGCGTACTAATCCAAGTTTTACTGTAAATACAATACCTCCCCCTCCCCCCCTCCCAAAGAGGCATCTTCATCAGAGAACATTGGCTCCAAACTCATTTAACAAAGAATCACAGATGATGAACAACTTCAAAGAATACGTAATGCACGTAATATGTTAAGTTATAACGCATAAATTGGGAAAACATAAAGGTAAAAATAGTAACTTAATATTCTACTAATGTTTAACTACTAGTACAAGGGGTTTATAAATCAAATCTAATTTTTGAAGCTAGAATGATGAATCCGTTCTTGAAAATGGACAACATTACCATTATTTTTTATCTATTTTAACAAATAATCCTTCTGTCTGTAACATTTGTTATTCAAATTTTAGTACCCGAAATCAATAACAAAGCTAGTATAACCCATCATTTTTCGTCTTTGCTTAACATGAACAAATAAAGGTAATGGGAGAATTCATAAAGATTGTTTCCAAAGGCCTCTACTGCGTATTTTATACAGCATAATAATATCAATTCTAATGAATTGCCTCCAGTTTTTACGAACGCTTTATATAAACTACTTTTAATATTCTATAACAATACTTTGTAAATAGAATCCTTAATTAAATATATATGAATCTATTCGACTTTAGTTTCTACAAGTTGCTTCATAAAAATTGGTATTTGCACACACTTCTACAGTGTAGTAATCTGTCTTCGCCTAATAAAATTCGTATAATATTCAATATAATATCAAATGCCAGTACTAAAACGATCATTTCATGCGCAACAACCTAATATGTACATCATTTTGGCCGTACCCTATACAGGGTGTTCGGGTTAAAAAAACATGCAAACTACTGGAAAACTATCCATTGCATGAAAAAATGGTTCAGACAAGAAATTAATGACTTCAAGGGTGCATAATCTGGTGTAATTAGATTTTTTGTAGACGGCCAG